GCATCAAAAACCTCTACAAGTCTTACAATTTCAAAAATACATACCTGAAAAGCTACATATTAAGTGATACTGAAACACTGATTACTGCATAGGAGCATAATTAGCGAGGGTTAACAAGTTTAAACTTGTGAGTGTGTTTGTTAAGGATAAGAAAATTAGTAACACCAACAAATTATCAAATGGTACTGATTAGGTTTACATCAGTTGGTTACGATTCCAGAACACACAACTAATAAAACACGCACAAATACTTCAAGCCATTTTATTTATTATGCCATTCCAGAGACTTACAAAAACAGCAGCTTTTTATGAGAATAAAAGTCAAACTTTTAAGCTAATTTTTGCTCAACCTCTTTTGTTTGTTAGAGATTAAGAAAAAGTTTCTTTTCTGATGATCAAATATAATTTGTTTTATAAACAAATACTAGCCTGTAATTCAGTTTATTTTAAGAGACAACAAAGACTTTGTTGATTCCTATAGAGGTTATTAAAGTTATCAGGCACAAGTTTACAGTTTAATTTGCCAGAAGTTCTTGTCATAATTTATGAAAAGTGATGTTGAAGCAATTATAGCGAAGAACTGTACAAAATAACCAATGTGTTATATAACTTGTCTCAACAAATCTAATTGGATAATAAAGAATCAACATCAATTACAGTGATAAACTTTACACCCCATGACTGAATAAATAAAACTGTTAAATTCATCTGTGGATATATATGAAATTTCATAAGAATAAAATAAACTAAATAGTAGTTTAAAAAAATGAAACTATAAAAAACGTACAAATTATGGTAAAATCACCTGCACACAATAGTCACTCTTTTCACAACAATATAACCATGTAATACTGTGTTGGCAATTTGAAACAAATATTTTTTTTTTTTCACATACAAGAAAACTGTATGTACCACCTAGTGTTAAAGGTAGAAACTTGCTGACAGAGCATAATAATGAGGATACTTAAAAACTGAAATAATAATTTATTATAATTAAATGATTCAGTAACAGTTTATATTACCATTTATAAAGATGTTAACTAGTAGAACTATGTTAAAAACAAAAGTAAGCAAAGAGCAATTTTACAAAAATATTTCACCATATGATAGATATGTAGAAGATCCTTGTGAAACATTCTGTAATATGATTTTTTAAACTGAAAGTCAAACTTAAACAGAATTCAAAGTGATGTCTTTAATTTGTAATACATGTGTAGTATTTATATAACTGGAAAACTGTTTACTCAACTGGAATTGCAAGTGTTTAGTAGCATATAATGCAGTAGCTGACAGTAAAACTAGTCATATGTATCTAATTTTTCCTCAAAATATAGTTGTGGTATTTCATTTTCACAATACTTAAATTCAGCTTCAACTCTATACAAGTCTTTTCTCACAAACATATGCAATCACTATTACAAACATTACAATATTCTGCCCACAAGCTTTCATAGTTACTAACATTACAATATTCTACCCACAAGCTTTCATAGTTACTAACATTACAATCTTCTGGCCACAAGCTTTCATAGTTACTAACATTACAATCTTCTGGCCACAAGCTTTCATAGTTACTAACATTACAATCTTCTGGCCACAAGCTTTCATAGTTACTAACATTACAATCTTCTGGCCACAAGCTTTCATAGTTACTAACATTACAATCTTCTGTCCACAAGCTTTTATTGCTGGAAACATTGCAATATTTGTCCACAAGCTTTCATGGTTACTAACATTACAATCTTCTGTCCACAAGCTTTCATTGCTGGAAACATTACAATATTTGTCAACAAGCTTTCATAGTTACTAACATTACAAGCTTCTGTCCACAAGCTTTCATAGTTACTAACATTACAATCTTCTGTCCACAAGCTTTCATTGCTGGAAACATTACAATATTTGTCAACAAGCTTTCATAGTTACTAACATTACAATCTTCTGTCCACAAGCTTTCATTGCTGGAAACATTACAATATTTGTCAACAAGCTTTCATAGTT